AATTAACGTTAATTGATACTGCGGCTTTTAATCCGGTGCGGCTTTTGGTCGTGAAAATACGGTACTATTGACCAAGGAAAATAATTTAATTAGGAGTCAATTTTCTTAGGAGACAGTTTTCTTAGGAGACAGTTTTCTAATGATAAAATAAATAACTTAATTATAATGAACATAAAATAACTTCTTGAATGCATACACACATGCATGCAAATGCCCATATAATACATAGTTGTATACCTGTTCCAACCCGAGACACTGTTATATCTGGTGCTTGATAGGACATAAACGGTACAGATCCATATATGTGTATTCAGACCTCAGCAGAGGTGTCCAATATGTCAGGAATCCGAAGTGTCTGATTAGATCTATATTGCCTTGGCGGGAAAGCAAAAATATTACCTGCTCTGGATCACATTACAGCTTCCTACTCCAATTTCCAGGAACTGTTTTTAAGGATTCTAAATTATAAAAGATTGCCTAGATTTAAATCTTGTACTTATGGCCCAATTAGTTTTCTGGCAACTTATATTACTGCTCTAATACTATTTTACAATGTAGCTGCTGGTTATAAAATATTGACAAATTTTCTATAAATTTCAGTATGATCATAGAGATTGGAAATAGGCAATATACATTTTATTGGAATAGGAAATAGTATCAATTTATCAAGTATGAAATGTTTGCATTGAATTGAATACTTTATTTGGCTAAGTGTGATCAGACATACAAGGAATTTGTTTCTGGTAGTCAGTGCACATGCAAAGCAACAGAGAATAATAATACCAATAAAAATACCAATAAAAGGAGGAAGAGCCTTGGTGGCACAGTGGTTAGAATGTAGTACTGCAAGCTACTTCTGCTGACTGCTGGCTTCCTTTAATTTGACAGTTCAAATCCCACAGGCTCAAGGTTGACTCAGCCTTCCGTTCTTCCGAGATTGGTAAAATGAGGACCCAAATTGTTAGGGACAATATGCTGACTGTGAAACTGCTTAGAGAGGGCTATAAAGCACTGTAAAGCAGTATATAAGTCTAAGTGCTATTGCTATTGCTAAGTAAAGAAGATAACGAGAAGGGTAAATAATAATATTAAAGTGACACTATATAGGTTAATTATGGATTGAATTTGTTAATATATACAGTTGCATTTATTTTTGAACTGCTGAAATGATGTTACAGTTATTGGGTTTAATTAGTGATTGGATTTGAGGCTGTTAACATTTCTATTAACACTTTAGGGAACATTAATATCAAAGATTTTGACATAATGCACTTGGCTCCATGAATTTAACTGCAATATAGGATGTGCACATTGTGTTAGAATGTTAAATTAAACATGACAGGATATAGGCATTATATTCTTCTCTCCCACATATGGGGGAAGCATTTACTTTTGAGGTTAAAACATTTATTTAGACTAATAATGTTTTTTATAATTATCTATAATAAAGTTGTGCTGGCTCAAGCTCAGTAATTTTTGTTCCTTTGACAATTTCTGCCTTCAGTAACTATACTTTCAGATACTATAGTATGATTCAAAATGAAAGGAATTTCAGTCGAGTACTAATATACGTATGATGTCATTTAAAGAAAGTGATCGGCAATATTTCCCCTCTCTCTTGCTTTCTGTTTTGAATGAACGTTAAAAATAGGAGTTTTGTTGGAAGAAGAAAAGCCATGTTTAACAGTTACTTTATAGCATTAATATGCATTTATTCTCTGAAAAGCATATACTATACATAATTATAGCATGATAATTATAGCATGAATGTTACAAATAATGCTAAACAATAATTAAAATAATAATTTATACCAATTTTCCAATTTTCCAATTTAATAAAATTTGTATGCCGCCCACTCCCTAGGGACTCTGGGCGGCTTACAGACAGATAAAAAACATTTAAAAATTTAAAAATAAAGGTACGTAATTAAAATTTTAATTA